CGCACCATGCCTGGTGGCACCGGCTGGCCAAGCCGGCCAGGACCCACCACCAAGCTCAGTGCTCTCCTTCGCCTGCTGCATTGGACCCCCACTCCAGGAGGGCTCCGCAAGGGCTTGTTTGCTTGCGTGACTCTGGACGATTTGGATTTACCCGCTAAGGAAATTGCAACAGAGTCTTGTGACCCTCTGTGACCTGAGCTGTGGTTTCCTTCCATTATTTTCTGGCGAGGTGCTGATAACACTTGTTGTGTGCTGGGGAAGGGCAGGCTCCGGGGGAGCAACCCCTCCCACGGTGACAAGAGGGAAGAGGCAGGCAGTGAGGAACCTGCAGTCCCTCTATGCAATGTTACAGCACCTGGATTTTGAGCAGCTATGACTACACGCCTCCCTAAGAACAGAAATCCCATATCCTTGCCGATTTTGATGTTCGCATTAGCTGTTTTGCGCCTCCAGCTTCTCCTTTCCTAGGGAGCTCATTTTAAGATTTGCTCTATCTATATACTTTCTTTGCTACTTGTCAGGGACAAATTTGTTGGCAGAACACCAGATCCAAATGCCTCCAACAAACATTCATTCAACTAGAATTTAAATAAAACTCATTTCAAAATGCATAATGCCAAAAGGTCCCTCTGCCACTCTTAATCTCAGCAGAACTGCAGAGCACATGCGCCTGGAGATAGGGCTCACGTTCACATTTCAACTACGCTCCATTAAACACTATTCCTGATAAGAATCCTTCAGCTGACCCTATGAATCTTCCTCACTTTTACCAATCCCAGAAACTCTGGGACATTTTGATTGTGATGGTGGTGTTCTTCCCACCATCATGATGAAGACTGGATCTTGTCACTAGCACGATGTCCTTGGCATTAGGGGATTCAACAGCAAGGAAAGACGGTGAATAATTCAGGGCAGGTCTTGACCCTGTCCTGTGCCAGGGACAAAGTGCGACCCCTCCTTTGCCCCCAGCCAGGGACAGCACAGCTGGTTTCAGCCCTCCGCATCCCCTGCCACGCCACACACCCCCTCCACATTGCGTTCAGATCTTACCTTCTTAATCTCCGGAGCTGGGCAAACGTCCGAGATGTGGGGGGGCTCGCTGTGCAGCCTGCAGCTGGAGCTGCTCTCGCTCCAGATGCAGCGATGCCCCAGGTCCTCCCTCCCCAGGCACTGTGAACAGTCCACACTCCCAGTCGCACAGTTGTACACCTCCACTACACCACCAGAGACAACAGAAAATGTGAGCTCCTGGGCCTGAGAATTCCACAGCTTTGCTTAGCTCAAGGCAGCCAAACACCCTCCCCACTCCCCCTGCCCCCCAGCTATATTAATCCAAGTAACATCTGAAATCCAGGGGATGAGCAGAGCAGCTTGCACATACAGCAAGATGAGGCAGCGCTTGGCTGCCATCCTGAAGATTTCCCAGAAGGGCTGGGTGCTTGTTCTCACTGCAATATAATTTAGCACTTTCTTTTCCTTTTTTCTTCCCCTTGAAAAACAAACAACACCCAAACTCAGAACCTTTTGTCAATTTATGCTACATATTTCCAACTCTCAGCATCCACATGGGAAGCTGCTTGGCAAAGCTGGCTCCATCCTGTTAGCAAAGCAATCACATTGCTTCCACGCTCTGACAAAAATCGGATGGCTACAGTGCTCTGTACAGTGTTTACAGTTCCCTTCCTTCCCCCTGGTGACCACAGGCCCCTTTCATTGACTTCTCCTTTCAGATCTACTCAGCTCAGCTTCCAAATGATTTTCCTACACCGCTTTAACCTTTTCATTAGCTGGTGCCCTAGGTTACATTTCCTCTCCAGCCCAAAGCCTTCTGCCACTGGAGTGTGGGTATCCGCTGAGATAAACAGCCAGAAACACTCAGGAAATGTTGCTTTCACACCCTTTTCCCCCGAGAAGGATTTGCAGGAGAACATAAAACAAAGAAACGATCACATTTTGCACTTCTGTCCATAGGCGGATCTCAAGGCGCTGTGTAAGCGGCTCATGAATCCCTCGGCCTTCAACGTTCTGCCTGCGCGCGTGCTAACGCAACGTCATCGGCACCAAGCGAGTCTCCCATTCTCCACAAAAAAATGAGCTTATTTCACCTTGTCTTGTGTCCACGCAGTGAGTTACACTGGTTGGCTTTCCATGCAACAGCAAGAGCTGGGATTCCTTCAGTGAACTACCGAAACGCAGTTTACCATAAAAGCTAATAAATACTGAAATAAAAGCCACTAATAACAGTAATTATTCCATTAAAGACAGTATAAAAGATGCACACATTTATAATTGGCCAGGCAGATCTCTGCCTCTGCTTGCAAGTCAGCCTCTAATTTTACTCACACCAATCTGAGGCAGGCGAGGAGGAGCCAGAGCAGTCTAACGGTCCCACAGGACCTCCAAATGTTCTGGCAAATTCAGACTGATGCAAACACAGGCTGCGTAAGCGAGCTCCTTCTCTGCTCCGGAGGAGGGGGGATTCCACCAAGCTCCTTCCGCTGTTGTTCCCGCTCCCAGCACCACCCACGCTGAGAATTAAGAGTCTTCTCTTGCAAACTAAAATAGCCTTAGCTCAGTAACCCTCCTTGGGGTTACTTCTGTAGCTCAAAAACAAGGACACCCTCCTCTTTATTCAGGGAAGTCGCGCCCCATGCCTACCCTTGCTGGTATTTCAAAGGTTATTTCACCAACGTGGAATGCATTGCAAGATAAGCCTCTTTTACACACTGGGATTTACTATGGGGAAACCTTTTTATCTTGGGTCAGTGGCTGATGGTGTTAATGTCTCCCTACCTACTACCGCCATCCTCCAAAGAAAATTTCACTTCAGGGATCTAGCTCTCAGGGATCTAGTTCTCATTTGCATGAGGTAATCAGTTTTTAAAGGTCAATTTGCAGAAGGTAAATCAGTACCTTCTACTACAATTTCTGACACTACTGAGGGGGAGAAGAGCCCAAAGCTGCTGCCTTCAGCGGGAGCACACGGCGAGGTGCAACAGCGAGTCCCCGGCCAGGGCAGGGCTGTTGAGCAAGCGCTGGCTCTGGCTGACTGGATGGGCTTCTATCGAGTGCCTTGTCTGAGTGCACTCAATCTGCCTGCCTGCCTTCCTCAGTCTGCTGATGTAGCAAGGGCTTTTTTGGGAATCCGAGCGTTCTTCCCAGAGACAGAGAGCGGGCCAGAGGTGAAATATGTTTACACATTTTATTCTTTCTCAGCACTGGAGGAAAAAAAAACCACCCTCAATTTTTACAGCGTGTTGAACCTTGATGCCACACTCCTGTGAGCTCAGGGCAGAGCCCTCCCTCATTCCTTATCTCCTCTGGGAGGAATTCCTCTCCAACCCTGGGGACGCCCCACATCCCTGCTCTGACCCAGAGCATGGTCACAGCCCGCCCCACGCGCCGCTGGCAGGCGAGACCTCAACTGCTGCCTGCGCTCAAGGACAGGGCTTGACTTTCCCTGGGTGTAAAGGGGATGTTCGCGGGCGTCCGTCTGGTTCTGGGCACATGTTCACATGGATACAACCCTGGGTAAATACGGTTTTGTGTGTGGCTGGAGGAGAGAACCGAGCTGTGCCCGGCTGAACCATGGTCTCTCTCCTGAACCCATAAACTTTGTCAGGATTTCAGAGTCATTCAAGCTGACCAGATGAGAGCAGAGTAAAAATATTTTCAAGTCAGACCTGTCATCGTCTCTGGACTGTCAATAAATCTGTCTGGTCTGTCCTTCAGCTGAAGGTTCACTGGGAAAAGATGGCTTTTTTCTGATGTGTGGAGCTGCACACAAAAAACAAATAAACAAGAGCTTAGGAAATTCAGTAAAATATGAGGTTCCATATGCACACTACATGGATTAACATTCCTCGTGAGGCTTCCCTGACCACTGCTTCTCAGTACAGGAGGGTCTCGTCTTTAGCAGAAAGAGAGGGAAGGCTGTTTTCTGTTTTGATCGTTTTGCTGAGGTCCCAACGAAGGGCACCGAGGCACAGCACACACTGCAGCAGGAGCAGAGCCCTGGCTTGCTGCTATTTTTAGTAGAAACCAGCAGGAAAACTAACAGACTGGCCAGTCTGTGCATTTTCAGTGACGGGCTGCAACACAGAGTTTTACAGGTGACATGATGGGAAAGTGCTCCTCTGCAGCTTCCGCTCACAATATTCCCATCGGAGGAAGCCCCAACGTTTGCTGCATTTCAGAGGTGCAGTCTGCCCTCCGACAAACACACCCCACTCTTCAGTGAGCGTCTGAGCATTTTCTCAGGCCAATTCCTAGTTCAGAATAAAAGCTACAGAAATAGCAACACTGAAAGGTGGCCAATTTTTTTGCCTGAACTGAACTCTTCCCATTTAGAAAGGTAAACAAGCAGCTCCTTCCCATACCCCAGCAGAGCAGGGGCTGGAGCCACTGCAGATACCCCCAGAGCAGACAACACAGCATCAGTGGCTCAGGAACCCCCTTCCAGCGTCAGCACGCCCACAGAGTCTTTTTCAGAGGGGTGAGCCCGGTTTGCACTTTTTTCAGCTGGAGGGGGAGGGAGGAGGGAAGCAGCATCCTAGCTGCCAGGTGGGAGACTGGGGACAAGATTCTCCCTGCTCTCGGACCTGCCCCACACCACAGGGGCAGCAGGGGTTGGTGGCCTCAACCCCCAACTCACCAGCACATGTAGGCACTCCACGGCGGAGGAGTTCACCCATCGGGCTTCGAATGTTCTGTCCGTCCCAAAATGGCACTCCAGAGCTGTCTCCTGGGGGAGGGAAGACAAGGGCAGTACGGCTGCAACAACCGCTCTGTACAGTTCTTCATCTCAATCAACTGATACAGCAGGCACCGTGTCTCACCCTGTTCCTGCCATCCATACCTGAGCCGTCTTTCAAGGCAAAGAGGAGATCAGAACCCAATACTGTAAATGGGCCTGGGGCCCGTGCCTAATTAATCCTGCTCAGTTACACACCCACACATAACTGCTGCAGGCTGGGCATCGCATGTGGAGCCAAGCCCTGCCCTTCTCTCACCCAGCGTGCTGCTGCCAGGCATCACAACTGGGTGGGGGGCAGCTGATCATGGCACAGCACACGCAGACCAGGAGACATGCCTGCCTGGGCTACGCTCTCATCTCCCCCACCAGTGGGATACATGAGTTCCTCTGGACTGGGGGCGTTTGGAGCTTATGCTGCAGTGCAGACCAAGAGCCAAGGTGGTCCCAAGCCACTTCACCCAAACCAGACCAATGCAGTCTATGATTTGGGCTCAAAGCCACCTTCCTTCTCTTCCCAACAACTGCACAGAGCAAATCTCTAATTCAAATGAGGACCTGGCTGGGAGTACGTTCAAAGGCAGATTTTCTGTGCTGTTTTCCTGATAAAACAAGGATGATATCCTGCCCTGAGTTACTGCTGTGCCCCCATCCTGCAGGAAAAAATCCTATCTCCAAGCAGGTTGATGCTCACCACTACTGAGGACTAACTGCCCTTTGAAAACTAATGGATCTGATAAAAGACATGAAAGAAAGTGCCAGACTCCGGGCAGGCAGCTGCTGGCTCAGCGAACACACACGCAGACACGAGGGGGAAACTGGAATCTCCTCCAGCACATCGCCTGCGTGCAGGCAGTTCTGCTCAGCAACTTGGCCCGTGCCCCTCGCCTCTCCCCAACCGCCTGGGCCGTGCCCACGCGGCAGCAGAGGTGTCAGGGCACAAGTCTCTGGTGCTCCAAGCGCTGGCAGCGGTTGTGGCTCCCGCAGAGAGGAGAAGAAAAGGACTTCCCCTTGTGTCCCGGGACAGTGTGCAGATGGTGGCGGGAGGAAGCCAGACTGCCAGAGCCTCTCCAGCCACCCCAGGAGTAACAGTGCCTCGGCCCCTTTAAAAAGCTGATTTCATTTCCTATCAGGTTACAGAGGGTATTGCTTCCTCTTCAGCCACCTCCTGCATCCACAGAGGAAGAAGGATTTCTCGCCCTTTTTTGCTGATTGCGGAGGGCACATCCTCCTCCACAGAGGCCAGACCCGTGCAGGAAACGGCAGCCCCAGCCAGGCGAGGATTGCTCGTTCCTGCCCCCACCCCGGAGGGAAGGAGGCCCGGTGTAAGCGGTGCCTCCGCAGTGCCTGGCAGCTCCACCAGCATTTCCAACCTTCTCTTTTCCCTGCAGAAAGAAGAGCTGCCTGGCTGTCCAACGTGCTGATACCCTCCGCAGGGGCATGGCGAACCAGGCCTCACGGGCCCTGCTGAAGACTGGACCCAAAACGACACAGGGCAGCTTTGTAATATCAGAGCTTAGTCAGATATTTTCCCAGTGCCCAGCCTCCCTGCCCAAATTCCTCTGCTTCCTCCTGGCACGGGATGCATTTCCAAATGTACCATTTGATGTCCACTCCCGCTTTTCGCCCTATTAGAATTGCAAGACACAAAATTTCACAGAAAGGGTTTTTTTCACACACGCAAGAATAGCTCTGCAGTGACAACCGGAAATTAAGTTAGAACATATTTCCTTGCTGTACTCCAAGCAGTAGCTCCGCCAGCACAGGGCTCTCTGCCCACAGTTCTGGGCTTTATCCATTCCGGAGTGGGGCTGGGCTGGCACATGGTATCGGGAGAGCGTGACACCGTCATGCTCTGAGGTGGAGCAAACAGCCACAAGGAAACCAGGAATTTTATCTGCCCCCAAGATTTTGTTCTACTGACTGGTTTACAAGACATGTAAACCTCCATTTTCCACCAAATGCAAAAAGTCTGTCACTAACTGCAGGAGATCCCTGGAGAATGCCGGGACACAAACAGCATCTCCCTTTGGCTTTGCCATGCAACCCCACTCGCCATCAAGGTGGCTGCATTCTGCTAGTGTCTTTGTCTAACGCAAACCGGGACTGGCCCCATCACCGCCTCCCGAGGCAGAAACCAGCTTGTACTTCAAATCCCTTTGGCTGACCTGGCCACCAGCTTAGGCTCATCTGAACCTTCCCAATCTCTCCAGGAGCTCATTTACCTTTGGAAAAGTTGCGTTAGCCAGTGAGATCGTAATGTCCCGAGATACCCCTGTGGGCATTGGGTCCAACGAGGCAGGTACAATTCGCGGGCAGTCGATTTTCTTCTGTTAGAGGTATAAAACAAGACCAAAAAAAGAGAGGTTAGCTGGGTTCATGCTGAGCATCCTCAACAATGAGGAAAGAAGACGCACTGGGACCCTAAAGATTAGTCTCACTACATCTTTAAAATCAGATCACACTGCAACCCAAGACAGTGAATAGGAAAACAGCGCTGCGATGCACAGAGCGGTAACACCGCATGGAACCTTCCACCCCGCAGTCACCAGCTTTAAGCCCAGCCCAGCATGACACTGCCTTAAAAGCCACCCCTCCACTAGCTGACAGATAACCACAGCACAGTGGCCGGGTTTCCAGGGGGCTCATCCGCAGCCACGGGCCAGCAGGCATGGCCCGGCGCAGGGAGGAGCACAGCAGGAAATGCCCCCTTGC